GACGCGTCTTCCGGCGTCGCGACGTCCCCGAGGGGGAGGGAGGTTGTTTGTAGGGGTACGTTCGGGTCCGCTTATACGTGCTCCTCGGAGCGTCGCGACGTCGCCGTAATGAGGAGGGGACGGTTTTCCGCGGGTCGCCACCCGCTGTAATTGCACCCCCCTCGCGCCCCCTTATAAAATTAAGCACCATTCATTCCCGAAACCGCGAAAACCTGGAAAAACTCGGAAAGTCGGCATCGATGATCTCCCTCTCGGGGATGTGCCGCGATTTGGGTCTCCTTCGCGCCAACCTCCGAGGTCTCGACCTAAATGAATTATTCCAATATTCTCTTTTGAATGTTCTAAAGGTAAACGGTGACGCCTATAATTATTTTTTTCCCCAACCCTTTTACGTTTTTTTCGGGGGTGCCGTCCTTTGTCCCCCCATTTTTTTTTCCTTCGTCTTCCCTCAACCACGGATCGCGAATCGAGCGTCGCCGCGCTAAAGGGATTTTATGTTTTTATGCATGGAATATTAAATTACGGGAGCGCCTCGACGCCCCCGACGTCCTCGACGACCCTCGACGCCCTTTGAGGGAACGTCTCTCAAAGTTCCTCGTCGTTTCGCGATCCCGGAAACGGTGCTTTTTAATTGGCCCAGTCCATCCAATTTTTAAGGACCTGTTTTTTTAAGGAGAGAACCTGCAACCCCTAACCAAGCACCTGTCTCGATTCCGCGCGTTCGAAAAGGTTTCGGCGCTTCCTGAGCGCGCTGTCTTTAACCCCAGACATCCGCGCTTCGTTTTTATTTTCGAGGTCGTTCGCGAGGACCTCGATGCGCATCCAAGGGGTGAACTACCCCTCTGGGAAGCTGGAGAAAAATAGAGAAAAGGACCAGTCCTGGCTTCCTGAGGATATTTTTAGCGATCGATGCCAACGGCGTTCTTGAGTCTTCCGCGTCGAGAGCGGATCCAAAATGGCGAACTTAATTCTTTCCTTTTTCTCTGGTTTCGTCGCGACCATCAGGGAATATTTTCGGCCCGGAGACTCCGGCAATCCTGTCGATCGGTTATACAGACGGATGTGGTCACCCCGGCGAATCGATATATTTTTAACTTGAATTATTTGACCCAGATGCGCGACCCGACGACCGCGTCGTCCTGTTTCGTGCAGGACGAGGCCGGCGAAATATTCAATGGTTTCATCGGGCGAGTTCTCGCGAATTTATATCCCAAAGTGGTCGGCCGATCGGGATTAACGAGGCTTCGATCGGGTTTGATTTAATCGCGCCCATCTATTTCCACTCTGAGTCGCTCGCTCCAAATTTCAAGCGTTTCGTGGAGTCCTGGGCTTTCCCTTCCCCGGTCTTTGAGGCATTACCGTATATAACTCAGGGCCGTGAAGGGATCCCGACATTATTTGCAACTGTCGATGGGAGCGTTTATCCCTTTCGACTCTTTGTGCACCTTATCGCCTCATCGGCACCTCGAAGAGTCCGTAATATCTTTGTTTCCTTATTTCCCGCTTTTTCTCCCGAATTTCACCGAGGAGTTTCCGGGATCTCTCGCAACTGGGCTAGGAAGAAGTCATTAGCGAAGTTTGCGTCTCCTCCTTGTTGATTATACTGCCGCTATGCTCCCGTTTCCCAGAGTGGAAACGAGGAGAGTTTCCTTAACCGGGGTGCACGCAGTGAAAAATAATGGCCGATTCGGTTAATACAATCTCGAATGAGACGCTCGAGTAAAACACGGACCGTCCTCGTCTGCGTTGAATCGATGTCAGCCGCAGGAACTTCATGTCGGAAGACAAATCTTGCCTCTTGTCGTCCTTCCAGCCGAGCTCGCGTTGTATTCCGCCTCTTGAATTCTCCAAAATTAATTGTCGCCGCTGATAAGAAGAGCTAACCTTACAAAAGGCAATTTCAAATGGCCATTAGCGTTTGACGCGACGTCGATTTTTCCTGCGAATTTTATGAGAGCGATTCGGGAGGATTAATACGTTTAATATATTTTACGTGAGTTTTAATACTTAAGGATTAATATTTAACTTGAGTGTACAAATTATCAAGAGGTTTATAACGTCGTTGAAAATTCTCTGCGAGGGGATAATTCGGAAATGAAACTTTTTTTAGGGTTTCGAGGTAGGGTCGTGCAAGGTGCACCGCGACGCACTGACAATTCTCCAGAGAGATGATAACGTAGACAGGGTCTGCCCTTATATACACCCAATCGATGTCAACTGCGGAAACTCCAAGGCGGAAGACAAACATTGTCTCTCGCTTCTCTCCGGATTGAATTCGCATTGTATTTCGAGATTACACGAGTATCCCGAAATTAATTGCCAGCCGTGATAAGGGGAGCCAACTTCTCGACGTACGATGTTAAGGTATTATTTTTAGTGAAAACGAGCGGCGTGCCCCGCTAAAATGTATGGAGATCTCAGCCATTTAGAAAGACTAATATTTATCTCGCCGGGGGAATAATTAAAACCTGGTTAAGCACGGGGACAAGCACATCCCGGGAATTATGCCGAAAGCGAGACAAGTGTACACCATGAATATTCCCCGCGATAAATAAACATCTCCCCTCCCGGTAAATAACGCCCTCTTCGTAAAAGTCACGCGGGGAAAAACCTAATAAAAATTACAGAACGGGCTCGGCGCAAAAACGACTTTCTCGAAATACAGCGGCAAACGTACAAATTTATTATAATAAATTAATTTGTCAAGAGTGAAATGAAATGAGAAATGTATAAATAAATGAAAGGTACGGGCGAAAGTGCAATCTCATAGATTCGATGCATTTTCAAGCAGTCGATGCACCTGGATATGAAAAAGCAAATAAAGAAGAAGCGGTCGGCATCTGGTCCGCTATTTTGATAGGTAAACGGAGGTCGATTAGCAACCCCCATGTAGCTCTCCGGGAAGGAAGGGAGGTAGGGAGGTAGGGAGGGAACTTTTAAATCCGATCACGGACTCCAAGTTATTCCGAGTTGGCCCGCGGCTCTTCGGGGTCTCCCGGGTACATCCCGAAGAACACCCGGTTGTCCTCGAATGGCGACCGGTTGTCCTGGAAAGTTGTGCCTTCCGGTATCGGGCGAGGATCCGGAGGGTGACTTTAAATTAAAAGATTCCTCCCGGGAAGACGGAGTCAGAGTCCCCCTTCCTCTCCCTTAATCCTCTTACCCCCCTCGAAGTTTCCGCCCTGGGGCTGCATCGGATGTCAATTTTCTCGCGGATTTTAGGATTCGCCGATTCGACGAGGACGATTAGTCCTGCCGATATTGGAATTCCAAGTCGCGGGGCGATCTTTCCTTGAATTTTTGGTAGCGATCCCGATTTTAATAAATCAGGAAAACGAGGACGATTAGGCGGCCGGAGGACTCGGGGGTCTCGAAGGACGCGTCTCCTGGACGTTGAGGAACGGGGGTAATTAGGCATCCTTACAACGTAGAGAAATTTCTAGGATTCCCCGTCGTCGAGTCCTCTTGAAATACTTCCTCCCCTGGCGGGACCTACCCCTTTTCCAGCCGCACCCCCGGCTTAAGTCCTGCCCTTTATTACGCTCGATTACAACGGGGATTAAGAAACAAATGTTCGGGGTGAGATCCCTTAACGAGGGCACGGAGATTACGCGCTACCGACGCCGTCCTTAAAGGTCGACACCCTTAGGGGGCCCGATAAGGGTGCTAAACCGAGAAGGTTTCCTGACCGAGTCTACCTCGGAAGGAGGTGTAAAAGTGACGATGGCCGCAGGTTGGAAGGAGATTCCCGCCTTTTATTGCGCGCTGATAAGGCGACTCGAATCATGGATTACTTCCGCAAGCTCCGAGAGGTGTCTCGGTTTTATGGGGTAAACGTAGCGAGGTCGCGATTCTCTTTTCGGTAACCTACATTGTCGGAGAGCGTTTCGTTGCGCCAGGCCGTCGGGTTGACGGATCCGGTCGACGGATCCGGTCGACGGGTCGTCGGGGTTGGCAAACAGCGGTGGTGTCACCGGTCTTGGATGACTGGATCGCCATTCCGGTCGGTTGGCCTCCGGGGCGACGACGAGGTTGGTTAGTCGCTCGACCGAGGAACCGGCTGGGAACCGGCTGGCAACCGGCTGGCAACCGGCTGGCAACCGGCTGGCAACCGGCTGAAAGGACCGACGGTTGCCGATGGTCCCGAATCTTCGACCGTGCGAGAAATCCTCGCCCTTCCGTGACCCCAGCCGGGAAAGGTTGGTTTAGACGCCGGACGCGTTTGGTCGTCGGTTAATTTTAGTGGACGATTCGGGGACGATTAGCCACGGTAGGACGCTTCCTCGGAATAACCGGCAAGCTTCGCCCTCCCCCGCGTCCGCCCGGGCCACACTCCGCGCGGAGAGCACTCTCCATATTGACTTAACTCCTTTGAACGAGTCCAGGCAACCCCGCTCGCGCGTTTCCCGGAAGAATCCTACCCACGTCTTCCCCAGGAAAGTCGGTATCAGAGGGGAGAGGCCGGAGGAATCGTATCGAGTCGAAGAGTCCCGGTTCCCGGAAAATCGGAGGGAGCGCGGCCGGCGCCGAGACGTCTCGACGCCGGGCGTCTCCTCGGCATCCCGACACCCCTTATCGATTTTTCCCCCGGGAGACTATCGTCCCCGAACCGAGCCCCCTTTTCTCTCCCTCCCGCTTCTCCTGGCTCTCTTCGGGGACGCGGTTTCGTTATTGCGGTTGCGCGACGTAATATCGCCATCGGGACGTCCCGAAGGCGTCCGCTCGGGGGCGAGGATCCTCTTTGTCGAGATAAACGTCCCGTTGGTTGTAACGAATCGTTCCCCCTCTTCCTCCCTGATTTATTCGGACGAAGGGATGTTTGTTCCCAGTTGTTCCCTAAGCGGCTTGCTCGGAGAACGGAGGGACTTTTTAATCATCCCCTTTGCGCCGACGTCCCCGGGGACCTCCGGTAATAACGGCGGATCGAGACGAGGTCCCGGATCTCCTGGGATACCCCCGATGACGTCTCTCACCTTATCGTTCCTTTTTCTTGATTGCAGGTTCCCAGGATCCCGAGAGGCTTCGCAAGTAGGACCGAGCCGGAACCAAGATGGCGGCCTTCGTCGCGAAGCAGATGGTCGGGAACAAGCTTAACGCCGTCAAGGGTGAGTTCCTTCGGGATTACGCTCTCGGATTTCTTTCCCGTGGCCTTCTTAATAACCCTTAAGGAGCTTTCGCCGGGAGAGAGGGAAACTTTGAGACGATAGGAGGATTTGAGCCATCAAGAGTCGCCGGGCTTTTTCGGTGCTCGGAACTCCTCGCGAAATCCTTTGCTTCTTTAACCATGAAGAATCGCCCCGCAATTTTAGAGGTTCCAAGTGTGAGATATATTCGAGGTTACATACGTTTTATATCCACTTTCTGTATTTTTCGTTATCTGTCAGGTAGTTTTTGGCTCGCGGTTGAATCGATATTTTTTCGCGGTTGTCGAATCGGTCGGGACGTATTTCCTTTTTCGAATTTGGACCGGGAGTCGTTTCCGGTTTCTCGAAACTTTATCCCCGTTTTTGGGGCAGAGGGGGGCCGGATACCCTCGAAATTGCGGGAAAGTTTCCGGGAGAACGGCGTCGATCGCGATTGGAAGGGGAGGGTCGATGATCGTAAAACGAAATTGGGAATTCGTCTCGCGATGCCGAGTTACGAGGCTGGGTGCTTTAACAAGGTACACCGCATACGTAGCACGTATGATATTCGCCGATAAGCAGGATAAGAGATCATACGAGCCGATACGCCTCGCTCATCCGTCTTTTCCGGATATGTACGCCGTTACGAAAGATCTCTCCGTAAAACCGAGTTGCCAAAATTTCGATGTCATTCGGGACGCGATAAGGAGTTAACGAGGTCTCGTTAAAAAATGTCATTAATTGTAGTTTGTAGTTCGACGTCCATCCGTTAACAACGATATATGCCGAACTCAGTTTACCGATAACATTTTCTCGACCCTTCCTTTGGATATTCTTAATCAAGAGGACGATATCGCAATTTTTCGCCTGTCGGAGTAAACTCCTCGTCGAAAACTCTCTCACGGCTTTCTAACGATCTTAAACGCCCATTATCGTCGAAATGCATCGTTACCGGTAACGATCTTGAGAATTTCCATTATCGCGAAATTGGACGACAGGCTCTTCGGCATCCTCGCTTTTTTTTTTTAAATCCTGGAATCCAGTAACGATGTCGATGGCATCGCGATTTCTCTCGAGCCTGTTCTCGATGCCTTTATCGGTCTGAATTTTTTGGAAAATTTGTAATTTTGACGGAAAGGAATCGAAAAATAATCCTACCCCGAGTTGGTGTGAAGTTTTTTCCTGAAATTCGGGGTTTATATCGGTGACATGTACAGGGAGTCGTAGAGGGTGACTGTCCACCCTCTGGGTCCCTTTCTCGCTTTTTACGGACTCGCTTGCGGTTTTATGATAATTACCCCACGAGTCTATTATCCGGATTGCCTTACGCGGGGTGCAATCGATATCAACCCCTCTCAGTGGGGACGTTTCGCTGGGGTTCCGAGGTCGTCCCCTGGAACGACCTCTTTGGGAATTTTTTTCTCAAGGTCTCGTTTCGAATTTTCCAGTTTCCTATTTTTTGGGGGGTGCGTCCAGGGCCGAGGGGTGGGGAAGAAAATTGGGCCGGGAAAAAGCGTCGCGATCGATGATCTTCCTCGGAAACTGGGGCGCCGGTCCACGGGAGGGACTCGCGCGCTAATCTCCCGCTGCAGTCGCGGCAGCAATTAGTTGATGACTCCGGGAACGCGCATTGTGGGCCGACGGGGAAAACCGGGTAAACAAAAGCTGGAACCCGCCGCATCGGAAAGGGGAGAGAGCGAATCAAAGGGGTTGCAGGCCGGGGCCGCGCGCGTCGATTGAAAGCGCGCCCCGAGGTTTTGCAAACCGAACCGACCTCGCCGAGAGGAACTGGACCGCGTCTCTTTGACTCGATAAGAGTGGTCGAAGGGCTCGAGCGAAGAACAAAAATGATGGGAGTTTAGCCCGAATCGCGAAGCTTTACAAAATCTTGACTCTCTCCTCTCGACGCTTGAAAAAATCGCATAACTCCCAAAATCTAACCGAAGGCGGGGAAAACGGAAGTTCGCGATGTTGGACTCGACAAATTAAAGAGAGAGCTGGAAACGAGGGCGGAGTCGACATCGACTCCGACCTGCCCCATTTTTGCGAAAATTCTGTTTTGCACCCCAGGACCCTGCATTCGCTCCGAATTGTTCCCCTTTGATCGCTTTCGCCGTCGTTTTCCTCGTTGAAAAACCGACGATGGTCGAACTTTCCAAAATCCGGCGTTCGCCAACAAAGGTGCGGGAGGTCGAGAGTCGGAAAATCCGAACCTAAAACTCGAGTCGTAACTTTTCGCCATCAACTCCAGGCCCCGGAATGTGGGGTAAATGAAAGTCGGGGGAAGGGATGAATTAAAAAGCGATCTTCGATCGGCCAAAAGTGGCCAGTTTTGCGAAACGATTCGGCTCGGCACTTCGAAACTATCCCCCCACCAACCTCACCTTTTCAACCCCTTGCCATTCGCTCGAGTTAATTGAAATCCGCGAATCGATTGCCGAGACTTTTACGCAACCGCAGGGATCGCTCGGCCGTGTCCTTCCGGATTTATTCCCCGTTATTCAATTGCCCGCGTTCGAGCGGGTCTTGCGGAACCGCAAAGTCCTGGTCGAGGGATGCGACTCGGGAAACCGAAATCGACGGTTCGACGTTCTTCGAGGTTGGTTCCTTAAAATTCCCAAATATTCTTAAAAGCCCCCAAAGTCTCTCTGCCCCTAGATATATCACCGATATCCGTTCAAGGACTCCCCCAGGCTCCCGGAGTCTACGGCAATTTTCTCGTGCCGGATGCATCTCGCGAGGTATCGATTCGTCTCGAGGGAGTCGAGAAGGTCTTCCCCGATCAATTATATCCCGGCATCGAGGCGACGCGTGGGTATCGCTAGTGACGCGCTAATTTAATAACGCGATGCGCCGCCTGAAATCGATGATTAATTGCCGGTGCGTCGTGCCACCGTCCGAATAAATTAGCGACCGGAAGCTCCCCGGCATCGGATCGAGAGACCCGGACCCTCCTTCCGGAATCCTGACCTGTCCCGGCGTAATCTAATGTAACCGGTGGCCTGATTACGGCCTATCAGAAATTAACGGGAGCCGATCGGACTCCTGCCATTCGATTTGATTTCCTGGACTCGTCCTCTTCCGATTTCACGTGACGGGGCAGGTCGGACTGTCGAGATTTATTTGCATATACCGAGGGGCTAACTCGATTGTTCGCCGATAGTTCGCGTTTCACTTGCCCTCCTGATTAGTTATATCGCCCCGCATGGGTTCATCCGGAGATGAGTGATTAATGATACGTGGGTGCAGGGATAGTTCCAATCCCGGGGGATGGTCGTCAAGGGTTCCTTGGTACCGCGAGTGACTTCGAATTATTTTTCTCGATTCTGACAAAGCCTCAAAAAAGGTTTTTCTAAGCGGGGACTAATTTTCCATGGACTTACGGATTTGTAATCGCGCTCTAATGAGGTTGTTTCACGACTCGGCTACTCGTTCGAGAATTCCAGGCTCGAAATTCAAATTCCAATTAGAGCGGGCGAGGCATCTGGTCGGGACTGCAGTTGGATTCGGTCTAAGTGCGAGGTCAGCGAGATTCCTCCAGGTTAGCCTAATTCCCCGGATCCTTTAAGCTCCATTAAGGACTTCGCGGGCGGGGCCAACTATAGACAGCCTTAAAGTTTATCGACTTTATGGCGCGACTTCGGCTTCTCTTCCGCCGTCTTTGCGCCATTTCTCTCGCGGTTTCTCATCGGCGGCGTTGAAAAGCCCGACTCCTTTCTTGCCGTAGGCTTTCGTTAAGACCGATCCTTTAAGCTCCATTAACGACTCCGTTGTCGGACCCGATGTTCTTCGTTCCTACGCTACTTTTCTTTTCCTTCCATTATAGGAGACATCGAACGAGTAAAATCAGGGAAACCGCCCCTGAATGACCCGCGAGTCCAATCGATGCCCGATCGATGAATTGATTTTTTTTCTTCAGGACTCTAGGTCTCGAGTCGAGCGAGTTTCGGATTTTTGGCAGGCTCGGGATTGATCGCATGGGCGTAATTGTATTATCCTGGTTGTATTAGTTATGGGGAATAATTAATTTTGGAAATAGACTTTCCTCCGTCTCCGCGAGTCGCGGATTCCATCCATCACTCCGCGCGACCCGCCGCAAAAATTGGGGGAAAACTGTATCATCGAATCTCGTCACCCGGGCGGCGTATTGCTCGTTTATCGGCGATTCAATTCACCGGGTCGACCGTTAATCGATCGGACCTCGAGTCGCGAGGAATACTTCTCCGCTTTTTGTAGGAAATTTCCCCTGGACGAAGTCGTCGTCCCACATTTATAAGTATGATCTTAACGATCTTAATTTCGGTCTTAGCACCTCGGGTCCTGATAATTCCGCCTCTGGGTGACGATAACACGCGGATTATCGCGGCGCGATCTCTCCTGCGACGCCGTCGTCGCGATGCGGTCCGTTTAACGCCGAGCGGACGTCCGCCGAGGCGCACTTTGCTCGCCGTAACGACGCCCTTGTAAACTGCTTACGAAAGAGCGGCATAACCTCGTTGTAACTCGGGATAACTCCATTATATAGCGGCGCGTTTCGTCTTTCGAGGGCGGAAACGTCGCGACGTCTCGTGACGTCTCGCGACGCGACAGGGGGCATTAACGGCGGCGAGCTTTCCCAATTCCGACGGGCCCGAACTTTGTCGACGTTAACGGCCACGGATCGTCGCGACGGGCCTTTATCCGCACCTGTCGGGCCGACGTCGCGACGCCGCGTCGTCGAAGAAGTGCCGGAAGTCGCGTCGTCTCGCGAGTACGTAAAACCGCGTGTCCGCGTCGTTGTCCTCTTTGCTTTCGCTTTCCCGTTTACGAGGCCGTTAAACGGCTTCTCGAGGTGCTCGTAACCCCTCGACGCGTCGAGACGCCGGACTCGACCCTGAAGAGTGGCAACATTTTTTCAGATTATTAACCCCAATTTCCCCACTTTTTAAGTACACATCTGACACTTATGACACGATAGATATAAATACGCATGTTTCGTATCT